GATGGCGCCTACTAATGTGAGCTAGGCAAGCCAATCATTTGAACAATTTAACATTTTACCTAATTTATATTCTTTAACAATTACGAAGATATAACATTTAAACAGCGGAATTTAACATAAGCGGGAGAAGAACAACAATTATCTAAACATAAACACCTAGTATAACTGTTTGAGTCACGACTACCCAGAACTGGTGTCACAATTTCACAGACGGTCTAAGAATTCTACAAATAAAGGTCCGAAAGAATTAAATACAACACTGTCTCTGGAAACACATATGAGAAAGAGGAAAGTAGATAGAAGGAGACGCCAGGGCCTGCGAACGCCTGCAGGGCTACCTCGGGTCGCCTGATGAATAAGATCCAGCAATCTCACTGCGGTCCGAAATCTACAACACTGGGGTCTGCACAAAAGAGTGCAGAGTGTAGTATAAGCACAACCGACCCCATGTGCTGGTAAGTCTAGCCTAACCTCGGCGAGGTAGTGACAAGGCTAGGACCAGACCACTAAATAAACCTGTGCAGTAGTATAATATACAGCGGAGAGTAAAGTAGAAATAAACAAATAAAGATAGGAGGGGAATCATGCTTCGGGAAATAGCAGCTAAAACAGAATCTCAAGAGAATTATCAGGAAACAAAAATTCAACTTCTACAAGGATAAGGAAAACAAAGGCAGATTTCACTCTCGGTTCATAACTCGTTGCAGGCGTGCAACCCGATCCCACTTCTCATATATTGTGGTAGGCATACCACCCGCTCCCATTTTATTATATCTTGTGGTAGGCGTACCACCCGCTCCCATTTCATATATTAACAGTTCTTCCAAATGAAATTACTCCATCAAACGCAACAATTAATACGAATTCATAAGACAACAACGTACACAATAATTATGATTCACTGAGGAAAACAAATAATGACAAGTAGCAATTAATTATGGACTTTAAGGAGCAAATGGACAATTTAATATTTAGTATGTTAAATGTCAAGTAGCAATTAAGTCACATAAACATGTAGCAATTATAGCATAAATTCAATAATAACTAGTAACACGTTAAAGGAAGATGCCAACATAAAGAATCACAGTAATAGTGGAATAAGACAATTAATGCACTTAAGCTGATAACAACAAGAAATCATAACAAACGGCAATAAGTGCACGGCATCACCCTTCGTGCTTTAACACTCTCTCACCAAAACAATACACGGCATCACCCTTCGTGCTTCACACTCTTCCTCGCCCAAGCTACAATTACAAAGCAATTAGGGCAAGGGAATCAATGACATCACCATGAAGTCAAGTAACAACAGAAAATCAGTAAAATAAACGTAAAGAACAACATAACTCAATTATCATTAAGAATCAGGGAAATCAAGGACTAGTGCACGGCATCACCCTTCGTGCTTTTACTCTCGTCCTCACCATAAGAATCAATATAATAGGCACAGAATGGTACATCGTGCGGCACGACATCACCCTTCGTGCTTTACACTCTTTCCTCACAATAAACAAACAATGCACGACATCACCCTTCGTGCTTTACACTCTTTCCTCATAATAAACAAACAATGCACGGCATCACCCTCCGTGCTTTAACACTCTTCCTCGCCCAAACAACAGTCACAAACAAGGGGCAAGGGAATAAACAGAATAATAATAGAAATCCCGGCAAGGGAACACATTTTAATAATTAAATTCCGGCAAGGGTACAACATCAATAATCTCAACATTCCGGCAAGGGAAATAATCAACAAAGCAACAATAGCCTGGCAAGGGAACAATTTAATAACTCTTTCTCTCTCTTTCACTTTTATTTCGTAACTCACTTTACCACTTGAGCCAATGCTCCAAAGGGTTCAGTCATCTCATATGCTTTCACAATTTGTAGTATAACTTGAGTCAATGCTCCACGATGTACAAAAATCACAATTACTTCCTTAACTTTTTCACAACAAATAGAAATCACTTCTAAAGCATAGATTATTCAACGAAATCATGAAAATCACATCATAAGACCCACGGTCATGCTAGACACCAACATATAGATATTCGTCACCATGCCTATGCGTCGTACTCAACAATAATCACGTAGCTAATAGGACTCGACTCCTAATCCCTAAAGCTAAGGTTAGACCAAACACTTACCTCGATGCCACGAACATAATTCACAATTCAATTGTAGCTTTACCCCTTGATTCCACCACCAATTCGCTCGTATCTTCAATAGCGGAAAATTTCTTCAATACACAAGGAGCAGTGATCTGCTGAGCTTTTGCACAAAACTGAATCGCAAGCGGAATCCACAGCGGCAACCTCGACAGAGCTTTAAACTCGCATCTCAAACTCCTTTTAACTTCAGCTGAGGGAACCAGCTTTTTGCCAATTTTCGGTGACTGTTTTGAGGTAATTTTAGTGGCTATTTCGAAGCTACCTTTGTGTTCAACAATATTAGGAACAAGCAACATTTTGTCTACACTTCCATAACTTATCACTATTTTGTTTGTTCCTCCCTTTTTGTTCTCATTCTCGTTTTTTTTTTCCTTATGTGTGTGTGCGTGGTCTCTTTATCTCTCGAGTTGGAAAATTCTGCTTCGGGAGTATTTTCTTTTGGGGAAATTGGGGTGGCCAATTGTAAGAAGATGATGGGTGTGGCTTCTTCTCCTAGAGATTCGAGCGGTGTCGGCTGATTTTTGGTGAATAAGAGGTGGGGTGCAGCGATGGAGAAAGGTGGGTAACGGCTGAGAGTTTTTTTTTTTTTTTTTTTTTTTTTGTAGGGTTTGGGTTCGTTTGCTCAAAAAAATGACCAAAGTCAACCATAATCAATTTTTTAACTCTAAAGATTTCTATTTCCATATTTTCACATAGAAGGCTTTCCGGATATAGGTCCAGACCACGCACGTAAATCAAGGTGGGGGTAATAAGGAGGTTTTTAGGCCTCGGAACACTCAATTCATTTGCAACACAAGTGATGACCTTTTGGGTCATCACATCAGCACTGTGTGTTTCTCCAGGATTAAACAAGCCTACCTCTATTTTATTTGGAGGATACAGGAATCAGCAAAATATTTATATTACAATAACCCAACAAGACTGAAAAGAGAATAGGACAAAGAAAATTTATAAGAAAAATTGGAAATAAGAGAAGCTAAGAGAGAAAGAGAAGAAGACTAAATAGAAAAGTACTTCTGATGGTGGATGAATTTTGCAGCCAAATAATGACTATTTATAATTGTAATTACATGTAACTTTGTTGTACATGACAAGAAAGTGGCTGATCAAGTTTGCCACTTAACTATTTAAAGGTTGCTACAATGTTTGTAAAGCAAAATTTAAACAATCAGGTTGCTAAAAAATTAGTTACAGGTATGTCTCTTTAAAATGTGTGATTTATAATACTGAACATAAGGTAAATGACCTGCTACAACTTAAAACATATAAATGTGACCTCATAATATAAAAGTAATACTTAAACTCCTTTTTTAATTAGCACAAAATATATCTCATAATGATTGGAAAGAGAAAATGTGTTTGCTTCTCAATCATAAAATCAACTACTCCCGATTAAAGTATGCTTTCTATTAAGTACGATTCAAGATCCACTAGTTGCAAATCATGATATATACACATTCGGCATTAATATTAAACCCTCACACGTGATATTAATCGTATGCGTGTCTCTCTATGTTAATCAAAATTTGACTTTACTTTTCATACGGAGCACGAAATTTCACAACTTAAAGCTAGATCGGTAATTGGCTTTTTGCCTCTCTACAAACTTGTTTTAGTTTTATGACCCTACTATTTTTTTACACATGAGAGATTTGTTTTTACTCGTAAGAAATTTATCTTTTACATAAGAGATCTAAAAAGATCATTTTCTTAAATTCAAAATTGTAAAGGGTCATGATGTATAAATAGCACTAAAAATATACTAGAAACATTACAAATAATAAATTAAATAGTCGATGTACAACCCCTTCCTAACTCACATGGCCTTCTCCTATACATGTATTTTCCATCTTACCTTTAAAGAGTCAACTACCTCTACAATATGATTAATTGATTATACACGGCTCTCTTTTCCTTACTCTCTACGGCAAATAAGAGATTTAATCAAAATATGTTGACATAAATTTCAATCCACACTGTTTCCATCTTCTTCATTATTTCCTCTGACCTCCCCTCCTCC